TATTCTTATATAATTCTTATATAATATTCTTAGGAATTCCATACGTTGATGTTCCACTGTTCATATTCCACTATTAATTCTAACGAAAGCTGCGTTCGCTACATAACTCGCCTCCCGCTATTCTCCCTCCCCACGCGTCGTCTGCTGCAGGTTGCTATGGTTAATTAAAATAATCATAAAACAATACAACACAAAACAATAAAAACAATAAAATAAAAATTAGAAAATTAAATAAACCAATAAATTTACAATTAAACAATTAAAACTCGCCTCTCGATAGTCTCACCCACGCGTCGTCTGCTGCAGGTTGCTATGGGGTTGTCGGGGAAGCGCGTGGAGCAGACGTCTCCGTACATCGACATGGTGCGTAAAGACTCGCTCAGCCTGCAGGTGGAGTTTGTGAAGGTGAACATCTCGCGTTGTCGTAAGACGCACGAGCCGGCGTCGACTAACAGCAGCAGCGTAGAGAGCGGCATGTCGCGCTCGCCACCCGCAGCAAAGACACGCGCCATCGTACGATTCTCAGGTGAGGCGAGCGCACGTGGCGCCATCTAGCTGTTGGTGGGCACGCGGCGCCATCTAGCTGTTTTCGGGTTGGTGGGCGGCGGGTTGGTTTAAGCCTCATGCGTGCTTCGAGCGAAGTACAGCAAAGGAATTACAAGGAAATATTTAGGAAAAAGATTACATGTACATATTGTATTTTTGGTGCTTGCAACTCTCTCTCTCTCCCTCTCCTTCTCCTTCTCCCTCTCTCTCTCTCTCCCTCTCCTTCTCCCACTCTCTCTCTCTCCCTCTCCTTCTCCCACTCTCTCTCTCTCCCTCTCCTTCTCCCACTCTCTCTCTCTCTCCCTCTCCTTCTCCCACTCTCTCTCTCTCTCCCTCTCCTTCTCCCTCTCTCTCTATCTCTCTGAGACTGACATTGTCGTGCTCTATCTCTCACACAGCCGTCTGTGACATCGGATCCGCGTCGTTTAAGTACGACATGCGGCGGCTGACTGAGATCCTCGCGTTCCCGAAGGCCTGGTATCGTCGCAACATCGCGCGGCGCATGTTCCTAGGGGACCAGAGCGTCGAGTGGGGGGCGCTGGATAGCTCGCTCGCTGAACCAGGTAAATATAACACCAGAGGGCGCTGGATAGCTCGCTCGCTGAACCAGGTAAATATAACACCAGAGGGCGCTACACGGAGCGCTCACCGAACCAGGTAAGAGCAACACCAGAGGGCGCTACACACAGTGTTAACCGAACCCCATAGCAACTAATATTAATGCAGGCACAGCAGCACATTGAACAACTGCTCTTGACGGGTGTTGCCGTGGTAACGCTCTCACTAACCGTGCGCATTGACCTTGCACAGAGGGTGACCTTGGACCAGTGTCGGACGGCGTGGCGGACGGCTCGGCAGCGTTGACCTTGATCAGGGGCAGTCTGCATCGTCGCGGCGGCTCGGACATCCCGCGGACCACCGACGCTCTCACCGCAATGCATGACCAGCAGCTGCTGCGACGAAGCTACCCCGGTAGGTGGCGCCACCGCACCGCTCTCTCTGCGGCGGTCGAAGGTTCGAGCGCGTGGGATGCGATCGCTATGGTAACGAGTGTTTTTGTAAAGATGGCTCTCGAAAGATTGTCATTCGCTTGTGGGGTTTTTGATCCTTATCCTCTTCATCCTTGGCTTCCTCTGGAAGAAATTGGAATGAGATGAGAGAACACTGGGTGGAGAGGAAATTGATTCTCCTCTATCTTCATCCAGGGTTTCCTCTTCATCCAGGGTTTCCTCTTCATGCAGGGCTTCCCTTCATCCAGGGTTTCCTCTTCATCCAGGGCTTCCCTTCATCCAGGGTTTCCTCTTCATCCAGGGTTTCCTCCTCATCCAGGGCTTTCCTTCATCCAGGGTTTCCTCTTCATCCAGGGTTTCCTCTTCATCCAGGGTTTCCCTTCATCCAGGGTTTCCTCTTCATCCAGGGTTTCCTCTTCATCCAGGGCTTCCCTTCATCCAGGGTTTCCTCTTCATCCAGGGTTCACGCAAAGCAGCGCACCCACACACATCACACAGCCAATACAGCCCTGCGACGCCGCTACCATGTCCACCAGGGGGCGGCCGCGGCTCACACGTCGATCTCGCGCTGGTGGCGAAGGCACATAACTGAACCAGTCTGCGACACTGCGGAACTGCGAGGGATGAATGTAGTGATTGCGCGTGAATGCGCAGATCGTGGCCATGTCTCGACTGTCGCTGGTGCGGCGCGTGATGTCGTGTCCTAGCCGGAACGATACGTTCTGTACGATGTGAGTGTCCTGAGAACCTTGTGTGTGTGTGATAACGAAGAGAAGATGGTGAAAGCGAGATACTGGTGTAATACTGAAGCAACGAAGATCCAGCAGAAATACAGGAGAAGAAAAAAAAGAAGCGGAAGAGGAAAAGAAGAGGAAAAAGACAAAATAATATGAAGAAATTGAAAGAGGAATAATAAGAAGAGGAAATAGAGAGAGAACAAAAGACAAGAAAGAAGGAAACAGTGAGAAAAAATAAAGAGAGAATCAGAAGCAAAACAATAAAAAACAAGCAATAAAAACGCGAACTAAGGAAAACAATAAAGCACGACGAAAACCAAACCCAGAAGTAAATCACACATAAAAAGAAACTTAAAAACAGACATGAGAATACACAGCAGAAATTCGCAGAATACGTAGCAGGGAGATTGAAAAACATGAAGAGGAAGAGGAGAGGAAGAAGGAGAGGAAGAACAAGTATAACATGACGTGGAAGACGAAGAGGAAGAAAAAACAAAAAGATGAGGAAGAGGAAAAAGAGGAAGAAGAATACTATAAAGACAAAGAAACAGAAATAGTAAGAAGAGAAAGGAGAAAACAAATAGAGAATGAAAAAGAAGAAAAAGAACCAGGAAAAGAGTGAGAATGGCTTCACCTTTATTCTGACGTTCTGGACTTCCGTAGCGAACTCTATGTTGGGTTCCAGCAGCGAGAACAACGCCCACGCCTTCGACGCGGAAGTTGATACGCGTGGAAGCAGGCGAGCGAGATGTTGTTCCCCTTCAGGTCCATCGTGCCGCCGAGCACTGTTCCGTCGTGGCAGCGAGGAGAGTCCGCGTGACGAGACGGCAGGCCTGACACGTAACCCAACACACGCTGCCAGTGCCGGTGATGCCGCACCACCTCATCCTCCTCTGTGTGTGTGAGAGAGAGAGAGATTGAGAGAGAGAGAGAGAGAGAGAGAGAGAGAGAGAGAGAGAGAGAGAGAGAGAGAGAGAGAGAGAGAGAGAGAGAGAGAGAGAGAGAGAGAGATTGAGAGAGAGAGAGAGAGAGAGAGAGAGAGAGAGAGTGGAGAAGAGAGAGAGAGAGAGAGAGGAGAGAGAGAGAGAGAGAGAGAGAGAGAGAGAGAGAGAGGGCGAGAGAGAGAGAGAGAGGGAGAGAGAGAGGGGGGGGAGAGGGTTATGGTGAGGCTATGGAGCAGGGGAAGAGGGGAAATATTCCTCATATGTAAGTGCAGACAGTACAGAGTACATATAGCTAAATAGTGAGTCCGTCAGGCCAGACACGAGGTATGGCCCTGGTTGCTTGCTCTGGCCTGCTGAAAGAAAAATGATAAAAACACGTCCACACATGTCATTTTCACCGTCATTTTCGTCGTCATCACCATATTCGTTGCTGTCGTCACCATCGTCATCATCACCATATTCGTTGTCAGCGTCATCGTCGTCTCCATCATCATCATCGTCGTCATCATCGTCATCATCGTCATCGTCGTCATCATCGTCACCATCGTTGTCACCATCATCGTCACCATCATCGTCATCATCATCGCCATATCAATCATCAACTCATCATCGTCATTCAATCGTCATATCCATCGTCGTCATCATCATCGTCACCATCGTCATCATCATCGTCACATCATCGTCATCAATCATTCACGTCACCAATCGCGCGCCATCGCGCTCATCATCGCATCATCGCTCACCATCATCGGCATCATCTCGATCATCATTCGTATCATCGTCACATCATCGTCACATCATCGCATCATCGCAATCATCGCATCATCGATCATCGTCACATCATCGTCACCATCATCGTCAACTTCATCGTCATCATCATCCGTCACCATCATCGTCATCATCATCGTCATTATCGTCATCATCATCATCGTCGGCCATCATCGTCACTATCATGCGTCCCCATCATCGTCGTCATCATCGTCATTATCGTCATCATCATCATCGTCGCCATCATCGTCACTATCATCGTCAGCTCATCATCGTCGTCATTGCATCGTCACCATCATCGTCATCATCGTCACACGCGTCATCATCGTCAATCATCGTCATCATTCGGCCGTCATGCATCGTCACCAAATCATCGTCATCACGTCAGCCATCGCATCGTCACATCCATCGTCATCATCTGTCAGCATCCATCGATCTATCACCATCATCGTCATCGTCATCACCTGCATCGTTTCAATCATCGTTTTTTGCTACTCATCATGCGTCACACATCAATCGTCCTCGTCACTATATGTACCGACGTTGTACTGCACCGTCGGCGTGTACGGAGGGCTGCGTTGGTGTGGCGGGCGTGGCGCGGGCGGGGGCGCGGCTGCAGGGCCGTGAACACGTACGCCTTGCTGTTGTGGAACTGCTGGTTGAAGAACTCCTCTAGCTTTGGTGGCCATGGCGCGAGGAGGCTCCCGGCGTGGTCGACTTACAGATCATCAGGTGAAGCTGGTCCCAGGTGAGGTCCGAGTGTACGGAAGATGTACGCAGCCTGGCATGGGACGAAGAGAGAGAGACGGTGAGGGATAGAGAGAGAGAGAAGACGAGAGAGAGAAGAGGGAGTGAGAGTGAGAGAGAGAGAGAGAGATAGAGAGAGAGAGGGAGAGAGAGTGAGAGAGCGAAGAGAGGAGAGAGATGAGATGAGAGAAGATCCGAGAGAGAGAGGGAGAGAGAGTGAGAGAGAGAGAGAGCGAGAAGAGAAAGAGAGAGAAGAGAGAGACACGTAGCAGCACAGTAAGAGTATATTTCGCACACGCACGCACGCACGACGCACGCACGCTACGCACTGCACGCAGCGGCACGCAGCATACGAGCACACACGTTATCTATATATAGTAACCTGCGTCAATAAACCCAGCTCAAACAAACCGCCTAACGCAACTCGCGGCTGGCGACACAATACCCGACAGCCGAGCAGCCAGCGAAGGCCTAGTTCGCGACCGTCGGCCCAGGCAGGTGGCGCAGGCGCTCCCACTTGGTCGGCCTCGAGCGTGGTGTCGTCCTGCGCCGTGGCGTTGACTCTGCCACTGCGTCGCTACGTCAAACCGCGTAGAGGGCGCTGACGCGCAGCATGAGAAGTCGCTCGTTCCATGTACTCCCAGCCGCGACTACGCGCTGCCCCAGCGACAGAACCGGCGATCTTGTGGTAGGGCTCTGTCCCGGGTCCGTCGCGCACGTGAGCTGTTGAGATACGAGAAAGCCGTGAGTACATGGGGAGGTCCGGAGGAAAGGAGGAGGAGGGAGGGGAGGGGGAAGGAAAAGAGGGGACATGTAAGTGAGGTACGGCTCCTGTCCCGGTTCCTCGGCGCACGTGAGCTGTAAGATAGAGAAAGCGGTTTTCGGTTTGCCTGAAGTACAGCATGGGAGTGGGTAGGAGGAAGGGAGGAGGGAGGAGGCGGAGAGGGGAGGAGGGGGAGGAGGGAGAGGAGGAGGAGGAGGAAGGGGAAGGAGGAGAGGGGGAGGAGGAGGGGGATGATGTATAGTGTGGTAGGGCTCCTGTCCCGGGTCCCTCGGGCGGCACGGTGAGCTGTAAGATAGAGAAAGCGTGAGTAGCATGGGGAGAATAGGCGGGAGGGAGGAGGTAGGAGGAGGAGGGGGAGGGAGAAGAGGGGAGGAGGAGGAGGAGGAGGGAGTAGGGAGGAGCAGGAGGAGGAGGAGGAGGAGGAGGAGGAGGAGGAGGGGAGATGTAAGTGAGGTAGGGCTCCTGTCGCCGGGTCCTTCCGCGCACGTGAGCTGTAAGATAGGAGAAAGCGTGATACATGGGAGTAGGTAGGAAGGGAGGAGGGGGAGGAGAGGAGGGGAGGAGGGTGAGGAGGGGAGGAGGAGAGAGGAGGAAGGGGAGGATGGAGAAGGGAGGCGGGGAGGAGGAGGGGGGAGATGTAAAGTGTGGTAGGGCTCGCTGTCCCGGCGGTCTCCGCGCACGTGAACCGTAAAGATAGAGAAAGCGTGAGTACATGGGAGATAGGAGGGAGGAGGAGGAATGAGGAGGAGGGGAAGGGAGAGGAGGGGAGGAGGGAGGAGGAGGAGGGAGGAGGAGGAAGGGCAGAGGGAGGAGGAGGAGGAGGAGGAGGAGAGGAGGAGGAGGAGGGGAGATGTAAGTGAGTAGGGCTCGCTGTTCGCGTCCTCGTGCGCACGTGAGGCTGTCAAGATAAGAAAGCGTGCGAGTACATGGGAGGTAGGAGGAAGGGAGAGGAGGAGGAGGAGGAGGGGGAGGAGGGGAGAGGGGAGGAGGAGGAGGAGGAGGAAGGGAGGAGGAGAGGGGGAGGAAGGAAGAGGAGGGAGGAGGAGGAGGAAGAGAGAGGAAAGAAGAGAGGAGGAGGAGGAGGGGAGGATAGAGGAGAGGAGGCCATGGAGCAACCAATATGATATATAATTGTTATTTTATATTAACCTTATCAATATATATGTTAATTATTATTGATGTTAAGCAAAGATAGATTCCCATCGCCTGCAGCGCACAGCGGTTCGCTTACTCGTAGGTGTGGAACTCTGACAGGTACAACTAGCAGGTGATAGCAAGCATGTCTAGGTAAGAGCACAGGTGTGCGGTGTGTGTACCGGTAGGTGTGGCAACTCTGACAGGTACAACTAGCAGCAGCTGATAGCAAGGCATGTTCTAGGTAGAGCACAGGTGTGGCGTGTGTTGTGCGCTACGCGTAGGTGTGGAACTCTGACAGTACGAATACAGGATGATAGCAAGCATGTCTAGGTAGAGCACAGGTGTGGCGTGTGTGCGTGCGTACCGTAGGTGTGGAACCTTGACGGTACAACAGGCAAGCTGATAGCAAGTCTGATGTCTAGGTAGAGCAACCAGGTGGTGAGCGTGTGTGTGCGTACCGTGAGGTGTGGAACTCTGACGCAGGTAGCAGACTAGCAAGCTGATAGCAAGCATGGTCTCTAGTAGAGCACAGGTGGTGCGGTGGCTGTGCGTACCGTAAGTGTTGGAACTCTGACATGGTACAACTGCAGCTGATAGCAAGCAGTCTAGGTAGAGCAGCAAGGTGTGCGGTGTGTGCGTACGCGTAGGTGTGGAACTCTGACAGGTACATACTAGCGAGCTGATAAGCAAGCATGTCTAGGTAGAGCACAGGTGGGGCGGTGTGTGTGCTACTCGTAGTTGTGGATACTGCTGACAGCGTACAACAGAGCAGGTTGATAGCAAAGCATCGTCTAGGTAGAGCACAGGTGTGGGGGGGCGGTGTGGTGTGTCGTACCGTAGGTGTGGAACTCTGACCCCAGGTACAATAGCTGGTGATAGCAAGCATGTCTAGGTAGACGCACAGGTGTGCGGGTGTGCTTACCGAAGGTGTGTCAACTCTGACAGGGTAGCTACAGCAGGTTGATAGCAGCAAGTCCTAGGTAGAGCACCAGGTGCGGTGTGTGCGTACGCGTAGGTGTGGGAACTCTGACAGGTACAGACTATGGCAGCTGTATGAGCGAAGCATGTCTAGGTAAGCACAGGTGAGTGGTGTCGTGCGTACCGTAGGTGTGGAACTCTGAAGTAGCAACTAGCAGGTGATAGCAAGCATGTCACTAGGTAAGAGTACGGATGAGCGGTGGCGTGCGTACCACGTAGGTGTGAACTCTTGACGGTTAACTACTAAGCAGTATGCGATAGCAAGCCATGTCGTAGTAGACGCAGCAAGCAAGGTGTGCAGGCGTGTGCGTAGCGTACCGTAGGTGTGTGAACTCTGAGAACAGTACTAACTACAGTGTGACTAGCAAGCAGTGTCTAGTTTAGAGAGCGTTAGGTGAGTGGCTGTGCGACCGTAGGTGTAGAACTCTGGACGCAGGTACTCACTAGCAGCTGATAGGCAAGCATTCTAGTAGAGCACAGGGTGAGATCGGTGATGTGTGCGTACCGTAGGTGGTGGAACTCGTGACAGGTACAACTAGCAGCTGATAGCAAGGCATGTCTAGGTAGAGGTAGGTGAGTCGGTGGTGCGTATCCGTAGGTATGGAACTCCTGAACCGTACAATCTAGCAGGTGATCGCGACGCGATCGTCTAGGTAGAGCACAGTGTGCAGGTGTGTGCTAACGTAGGTGTGGAACTCTGACAGGTACAACTAGCAGCTGATAGGCAAGCATGTCAGGTAGAGCACAGGTGTGCGTGTG